AGTCTACCTTTTTTTCAAAACGTCGCAGAACACAGGTTTTTCGTGATCGTTTCGTTTTTGTAATCTAAAACGCGAGAACAAAAAGTACGATTTAAGTAATAAAATTTTACGTGATGAGTACAAAAAGTCACTGTCGCCCGTAATCGAAATTTTCGATTCACATCAAAAAACCAGACGAGCAGTCGCATCTGTCAGACCGTGCCGATAAAATGATTGATGACCAAGTGCTTTTGAATACTCGCATAATTGTAATTAGCTAGTTGCACGAATCGAAAGAGATTTTGGATTTACTAGCCATTTTAACAATAACGAATTGTCGTTAAGATCATTTTAGCACTTCAATAATTTTTAGTTTTCTCTTTCAAAGGAAAAACCTGGCAAGCTTAATAGGGATTAATCACGGTTAAAATCCAAATTCAATATTAAGTTTAATAAGTTAAAGTCGTCGTGGCCTAAAGGATAAGGCGCCAGGTGCATATGTATCAAGTGATGCCACTGTATCGGTGTTCGAACACCGCAGAACGATAGTATTTTTTCTAATGAAATACGTACTTAAAAATGTTCATGTATGAATTTCGCGGTGAAAGAATAACATCGTGTAAATTAAACTCGAAAAATACTGATTAAAAAATTATATTAATTACTGATTTACTTGTGGTAGGGTGACTTGTGAGCTCGCAGGGGTAGGTACGACCACTCCGACTATTACTGCCGTAAAGCAGTACTGCGTTTCAATTTGAAATGTGGGGCGGCCGTTTTACTGTAATATAACTGAGACTAGAATAACTCATGTCTTAAAATGGTTGACGGCATTTACGTTGTTGATCTATTTTTTCTACGGATCTGTTGTGGTCTATGGGGCGTCGTTGTCTATGGGCTCCAGATACCACTTAATATCAGGTGGGTTGTGAGCTCGTTTCCTCCTACCTGAGCAATATATATAGACATATAAATAAATAAATAATAGTTTAAAAAAACTAACAAAATACGCTTTTATAGAAAATCCAACTAAAAATAGAACACAAATCTATGTATTAATACGTGAAGCAAAAACTTTGTATCCCTTTTTACGGAAATTGCGCGGACGGAGGAGTATGAAATTTTCCACACTTATAGAGAATACAGAGAAGAAGTGCACAATGCTAATATTTTTTAAAAATAATACATAAAAGATGCATTAAATCAATAAAGAAAACATTACACACACTACCATGTATTTGACGCACACACGCATGCATGCATACTATTTATTGTCAAATTGTTGTTCTTGACGTCTGTGGTCAAACTGAGAATAGATTAAATATTGTTTGTCTCTATTAATATTTTTTATAGTGTGTTGTAGCCTTGGCGAAATTTGTGATTATAGAAGTATAAAATACAACCATAATAGTGTACAAACTTACAATTCCAATTAATTATAGTCGAATTTCGACTACTGCGGGACCTCTAGTTTTAATAAATTTGAATTAAAAGTAGTGTAAGAAAAAATGATTTTATATAAAAAAAGCATCGAGTCCATGGTACCAGTAGTTATGAATATTTTGTGACAGATATGAGTAGAAGGGTTATTTTGATAATATCCTGAAAAGCACCCCACGCTTTTTTACCATAAAATATTTTTTTCTCCCACTATTTTTAATTCAAATTTATTAAAAAATATTTTCAATTTTTTAGTTAGATTTTATATAAAAGCGTATTTTGTTAGTTTTTTTAAACTATTATTTATTCTTCAATCTTTTAGTTGAATTTCAATATTTAAATTTTTTTTTAAATATTGAATTGTCATCGAGTCGCCAAATTTCGAGTTAATCCGACGTTTTGAAGGGGGTCAAAATCATGTTCAAAGATTCCGTAACATACTAACATACATACGTCTGAAGCTAATAAAAGCGTATTAAAAATATATAAACCATATATAAAAAAAAGTTTATTTGCTAAATTTTAACCGTAAATATATACATACATATATTATTAACAAGACAGTTCGGAATGTTTAACATATAATGTAGATGGGACTCATAAATTGTTTAAAATAAATAGGTGATGCGTAATGTGCTATGTCTGGAAACTTGGTTGAGTCCTTAGAAGAACTTTGGCATAGCCCTTAACTCGTACCAAGACCTCTTAATTACTTGGTATAACGTCAGTCTGAATTAAGCAGCTTACGACGTAGAGTTATGTTTAAATCATATTATTAGCGTATCAATCATAATTTAAAATTAATTTAGGTGGACTTGTACAATTGAAACTTTTCCCAAATTAGAGAATTTTATCAAATTCTTACAGTATTGGGTAGATTTGCACGAGCAAACAGACTGTAATTTAAAATTTTATTTTTGACTAGCGACCCGACCGCAGTTCGCTTCGGAAATTTATATTTTATTATTGATAGCTGAGTCCCGAGGTTATTGTCGTACCGCGGGTGACGCCGCGGGGCGAAGCTAATCTAATAAAAGTAGCCTAAGTTACTCCTTATATCATCAGCTACTTAGTAGTGAAAGTCTCGTCAAAATCGGTCCAGCCGTTCCAGAGATTAGCCGGAACAAGCAGACAGACAAAAGTTGTTAAAAATGTTATTTTGGTGTATGTACCGTATATATATATACATATTCATATTATGCATGTAGTAAAAACCGGTTATTTCAATATTACAAACAGACACTCCAATTTTATTTATATGTATAGATGAAAAAACATGTTTCTTTATTTTGTCCTTATCCTCCTTTTGATATAGTGTTTTTATATCTCTTGCAGGCAGACGAGCATACGGTTCCCCTGATGGTGAGTGCTTACTGTCGTCCATGAACATCACCAGTGCTGAGGTAGAGCCAAGTCTCTGCCTACGGAGCAGAGCTAGGCCGCTGCCTGGCCTATGTAGGCAGACAAGCATGCTGCCGACTTAATAGTAATTGGTTACTGTCAGTCATGGACGTCAGCTATATTAGCAAGCTGCTATCCACCGGTAAGCACTATCCTCGAGCCTAATTTGATGAAGCACTTGTTATAACGCTCGGGAAACACTGCAGAGGGAAATTCATTCCAAAACCGGGTAATACGTGGCAAAGGGCGACCCAGAGATAAGGGCGGTACTCCACGCGAGGCGTTGTGGCCTACAGGATGAAATGCGCGGTATATCCGTACCGTGCGATGCGAGTATGCCGGTGTTCAAATCCCTCAGGCAGGTACCAATTTGCGAAATGAAATCAATATCAAAGGGGAATGCCCACTCTCCATAGTGTGCTGGGCCCAAGATGGACATCAAATATTACTATAAAAATGGACTGTTTCAAATTCTTAAATGTATTGGATATCTAAAAAATATATTGAAATTGACGCCACTATTATAAAAATATAAAAATTCGTTTTGAGGTCAATTTTCTATAAATATGTGTCGGATTGTGAGATACTTCAAGAACTTTTCTTTTCTTTATGTTTAATTTATTAATTATCATAAGAGAGATGTTCCTAATGTATTTTTATCCAATTGTAGTTATTAGAGTATAAAAAACACACATGCTTTAAATATCTATTATTTTCTTCATGTTCATACACAATTACTAAATCACCTAAAAATAGCACAGGAGGGCATATACACGGTTTTGAATTTCGGTCAGGTTAAAACCACAATTCAGACGATGTTTTTCAGTCGTAGTAAGAAACGTTATTGATCAGTATCTATAATCGAATGTAGCGATATCGAATAACCTAACGAACATAATCTTAACATGATCGAATTTAGCTATGATCCTGAGCCAAAGTCGTCGTTGAAGGGAGGGTAAAATCCATAAAACAAAGCCAGTAAAATAAATCGAAGAAAAATCAAAACACATCCATTTTGAACGTAAGCGCAAGCAGCGAGCGAGGTGTCAGTCAGTCAGATTAAATTCAGTGTTGTCAGTATAACGAATATTAAATTCATATATCGATTATTTTTTTTAAAACCCATAATTGATTTATTTTTCTTAATCTTTTTTTTACGACTACACATAATTTTTTATGTATTTGTTTTAGTTGTACATATTCAAATAAAAAATTTAATACTAGTAAAGTTTTTTTTTTATTGCTTAGATGGGTGGACGAGCTCGCAGCCCACCTGGTGTTAAGTGGTTACTGGAGCTCATAGACATCTACGACGTAAATGCGCCACCCACCTTGAGATATCAGTTCTAAGGTCTCAGTATAGTTACAACGGCTGCCCCACCCTTCAAACCGAAACGCATTACTGCTTCACGGCAGAAATAGGCGGGGTGGTGGTACCTACCCGCGCGGACTCACAAGAGGTCCTACCACCAGTAAAACGTGTAAAAAAACGGCAAAGGAGTAAGTAAAATTCCTTCTGGAAATAATATACAGTCAGCATACATACGTATTCGAGTTCCAAAAAACGGGAAGGCAGGTGCATACTAACAATGCACAATAGTTCTGTGTTGATTGTGCAGAAAATTGCGCGCAGTGGAAAATTCATGCTCGGAATTTGCGTCTTTTGATGAAGTTTTTGTTCAGCAACGCTGACATGCATTATAATTCAGTCGTTAATCGTGTTGTGTTTTCGTATTTATTATTGATATTATACAAAAGGCGTATACCTATGAATTGCTGTTCGTTAGTCTCGCTAAAACTCGAGAACAGCTGGACCGATTTGGCTAATTTTAGTCTTGAATTATTTGTGGAAGTCCAGAGAAGGTTTAAAAGTTAAATAAATATGAAAATGCTCGGAATTAAATAAAACTAACAATTTTGTTTTTCCTTTGATGTGAGATCCCCCATCGGACGGATTCCTTTTGTTTGTATTAAGTTTATTTTATACAAAAGCTTAGGTCTTTTATTTATCGATCGAGGCACTACGAAATCTGCCGGGTCAGCTAGTAAACAATAAATAAACGTTCTGTAATACATCTAAAATATGAAAAGCTTTGCACAGTGAACAAAATTGTTCTTAAACAAATTTTAATATGTGTCGTGATAATGTAAAACTAAACATTTTGCAAAAAAATGTGTGAGACGTGAGTGCAAGTCACACGCGGTAGAAGTGAAAATTATAAGAAATAAGAATAATCGCACCACCATATAAGAACCACTCCGCAGCGCAATGGAGCAGCCTCACCCTGGGGGAACCGCCTGCATGATCACGGTAGCCCCTACGTCAGGTATGTGTGATTTAGCAAGAGAAATACGAGAACGTCTATTAATTGTGTAACATCTCGTCACCACGATTCAGGAATTGTTGAATTTACGTGCAGCGACATCTGGTGATAACAAACAATAAATAGAAATAAAAGTATCTCTGGGCGCTCCGAGAGCCACGACAGCATGCACGGACGTCAAAAACACGCTGAACTAGTCGGGGACGCGAGACCGTGTGGAGCGCTTCGTGATTTGTCGGCGCCGCTCGGAGCCGCTTCGGCAAGCCAATCACGGTACACTTATTTTTTCGTTTCGTTTCATTTCGTTTCATCGAGTTTAAAATCACAACGACTCTAAAGAGGTTTCACTTCAAAAATAAGAGCAATTTTACAGGTCTCATAAGCTACCTTCGATTAATTAAACCAACAATAAATTTAGTTAATTCACAAACCATATTGTATCTTAACTCCAGCAAAATCATTAAGAAATCGTACAGGCTGCAACTCAATTGAGAGTCCCAAATTAAGCCTGATTGAATGTAGTCCAATGGTCGACCAAATAACAATTTCGAGAGTCGGAGCTTCCAATTTGGTTCGAGAAACTAAGGTGTTGCATAAATAGGGCTAAATTGGAATTCAACGAAATTCACACATACACACATACAGGGACTGGACGTCCGACCTGCAGTAGGTACATAGGGAAATGAAGTTACAAACTTCGAAGTTAGCAATGTCGACCTCAACCACTGTGACTTCAGTCGAATTCACACTGGGATTAAAGTTAATAGCTGCTGTATGTGAATTAAATTGGAACCGGTCAAATGATTTCAATAGTGGTCTGATTTCAGTTCGAATGGTAGCTAATTTCGTGTCGATATTATTATAACACTGTTATACACGAATACGACTATTGCCATAGTTAATTTAAGATTATTATCATCTTTGACGATCAATATAACTATCTTCAATAAATCATAATTTAATGATGATTCGATTCAAATAATCTTATCTCAACTTATTTGAAATTCAGCCTCTGACTTGCTTTTTTTTTTTATGATTGAAAGATTACTGGTGGCCCGGAGGCCTTTCCAGTTTCACCAGGACACATGGGCGAGCAAAGGCTCAGCCAGGAGAGGTGGGATTTGCTAGCAGCTACCCGAGCGCCTCCGAAGGAGACCTAACAGCTCAAGAGTAGCTGCTTCGCGAATGAATCTACTACCGGATCGGAATCGCGACCCACTGAGAAGATCCGGCGAGAAACTCAGCGAGCTGATTCATGGGTTAGGTTGCACGGCGAACTCTTTGTCGAGTTCGACGAGTACGGTTACCGAGGTCCCTAAGCCTGCTCCTAGTGTTAGAGCTGAAGGCGTCTAATGCAAAGGTTATTGGATCTGATGGATCCGTAAGGACGTGTCTAGGGCGTCGACGGTGACTGGCTCCTGCGTGATCAGGATTCGGGGAGTAGTCAGCGGCGGCAACGATAAGGCGATTATCATGACGCATAGCCTTATCGAAGTACCGTTCCGACGCTGACTTCATGTATTTCTGGATAGATTCGAGGCCCAGGTCGTCGTGTAGGTCAACGTTCCTCACGAACCACGGAGCTCCGACGGCTAACCTGCAAAAGCGGGATTGTAGAGATTGAAGGGTGTCTATGTGTGTGCGGGCCGCGTGAGCGAACACCACACTCGCGTAAGTCATGACGGGCCTTATGCAAGTTTTGTAAAGTGTCACCTTGTTCCGAAGGGACATTTTACTCCGCTTACAGATCATGGGGTAGAGTCTACCGAGAATAAACGCGGCACGGTCACGGACTGATTTTATATGCGGGCGGAATGTCATCGATGCATCCAGGGTAACGCCCAGGTACTTGACCTTCCTGGCCCAGGGTATGGGTTGTCTAAAGAGAGTAATCGGGGGTGTGAGATTCCTCCTCCTAATCCGGGAGGAAATCCGTGTGGAGCTTCCCCTCTGAAATAGCACCGCAGTACTTTTCGCTGGGTTGATGTCTATGCGCCATTTTCGGAACCACTGTCCTAGGGCTAGGGCTGCGCTCTGAAGCTTCTTCGCGATTAGGGACTTATTTCTACTAGAATAGTAAACAGTCGTGTCGTCGGCGAATAAAGCTAAATGGGTCGGCGGCGACCGGGGAATATCGTTGACGAATAAGCTAAATAGGAGGGGTGAGAGGACAGAGCCTTGCGGGACTCCAGCTGTGAGAGGTCGTGGGGAGGAGCGGGTTCCCTCGACTCGATATCGAAAAGAGCGGTTCGACAAGAAGTCCCGTATGATGAGCACGAGACTATCCGGCACGCCCATGTTGAATAGTTTGAAAATCAAACCGTTGTGCCAGACTTTGTCGAACGCTTTTGCGACGGCGAAGAAGAGAGCTCCCGTGTATAACGGTTTTGGTCGATTAAGCCCCACAAGAATGTGCTCCGTGAGGCGGTGCACCTGTTGAACGCATGAGTGATTGGTGAGTTGGACGGGTAGAAGTTTAATAACGCGGTTGGATATACCGTCGGAACCGGGAGCCTTGCGAGGACGTAGGTCTTTGATCAAGTCTTTAACTTCCATCGGGGTGACGGGTGGTAACGCATCCGAGGGTGGCAAGGAGACTCTGCGTTCTACCTCACTGTCTACTAATTCTACATGAACAGGGTCCACGGATTGAGTGCTGGGCGTGCACTGGGTTTGCAAGGTATCGGCCAGCAGCTCTGCTTTTTCGTCATCATCGAACGCCGCGAGTCGGCCTGAGGGGCCTACGAGGGGGGGCATAGTTACTACCGTATCCGATTTGAGAGTACGAGCTAAGCGGTAGTAAGACCTTTGGGAGGGCGCGAGTCCTTCTAAGAATTCAGACCATCTGGCATCTCGGACTTCGGCGATGCGAGACTTTACGTCGCGTTGTAAGGCACGCATTCGAATACGATTTTCCGCGGTAGGATACCTGTCGTAAGCTCTGACTTGCTCAAGAGAGTTCTTCTCTTTAGAAACAAGCTTTGATCGCTTTTCCTGCATATCGCGCATCCCCATGCATTATCTGCACAACAATGCATCTTAACTATAGACGGCATGTCATTTATATGCAGAACGAAAAGCGTGGAGGAGAGCACTGAACCTAGTGGAACGCCAGGGTTCATGGTCCTGGAAACGGAGTAGCAGCCGTCGACGACAATTGTGATGCGTCGTCCATACAAAAAGCTACAAACCACTTGAGTCCTTCGGTGATTTCGTAAGCCAGTAACTTTGATAGAAGTGCCTCATGCTACACCTTTTTTTTCAACGCTGTGAAATTCGCTTACGTATACCTGATTTAAAGGGTAGCAGACCGGGTTGTGTCAGACTCCGACACCTCGAAAGAAGAAAAGGGAGAAGAGGAAGTCCTTATATTATTCCGATCCATTCCTAGGAGACTACACCTTGAGAAAAGTGCGCAGGGCGCGCAGCGCGAGCCATGGAAATTTGGACCCACAAAATCAACTACCCCAAAATCGAATACCCCATCAAGCTCCACTACACTGATTAGAATAAATCTACGGTACCATATAGTGCACGCCAAAAGTCCACTTTCATTGGTACCCATCCTGATGATAGGTACGAATTTCATCACCGGGAAAAAAGGAAGGGCGTTGTCTCGGGAGACACATTGTGGGCGGCGCATAGAAGCAGCCTTGCGCTACCTAACTGACAGGTTTGGCGTCAGTATCGCCACGAGATCTCGGCGCGGGCACTCTCAACGCGGTCACATTTGAAACGTCATCGTGCGGGTGTCCGCGTTGGTGATAACCCAGATATGACTCCCCCCTCCCTGTGAATTTGGCATAAAAGACGATCGAGCTCGCGGTAACAGTATCAGCTGTTGTTTTAAGTAATCGCCAGAGACTTAGGAATTACCAGTATCTGCAAGCGATGGCAACTAGTTACAATCGCGTCAACCGTACAATTTTTGTTCGTAAGCAGCAATTAAAAATACGTATTGCCATCTGAAGTGGAAGAATCAATTTCATGGGAACGATAGTTGTTCTACTCGTCGATCCGAATGCATTCTTGCTTTACAATATAAATAGTCAAGGCTGTATGACCCTACTATAATTCTCTCCTGTCTGAAGGCTGGGACAGCTGTTATGCAATTCAGTTGAGATTTTGACCTCAGAACTCGACATGATCGACGGAATTTACATTGATATACACTGACTTCGGTAACTGGTTTGGTATGAGCAAATGGAACTCGTACACAAATCTGGTGCTTCAGCCGGTGTGAGCTCTCAACCTACTCCACCAACCTAGTGCTAACAGTTATGAATGCCTAAACGAATTGACTGAAGTTATCCATTTGAGACGCTGCCAACAGTGCATAAGCACTCGTTTTCTTAATAGATCCAACTATAGTTTTAAAACTATTTCCAGCAACTGAAACAGGTGGATACACTTTAAAAATTGCTCTACGTTTCGAGATTGTGCTTCGCCAAGTCCAACTTTATCTAACAGCTGATTGCGAGACTTTTCTTTGGGAAACTATCGTTAGAATCTTTGCTTCCGTTTTTCTTTAAAGTTTGTTCAAACAACTTATTTCGTTGTCAATATAAAGCAAAAACATTGTTTTGCTTTTAATTTTCCTTTCCAGTGCGCCCTTGTGCAAGAAATTTGCACAGCAAACATTTGCAGGAAAAACTCCTAAACTGCTATGACTCAGATACAATTGTATTAGTTGTATAGGGTATTCTTTGGAAACGAAGTTAACCTTATGTTAGGCATCCTTCTTTGGGGCCTGTAGTAGATCATACTTTGGACGAGCAGGCACACAACAGCAAGTGGCCTGTGACCTTGATCGTTAATTTCAGGCATGTCACTTAACCTCTGGATTTATCTAACAGCAGTTTTGTGATCTGCACTAAAACTTTCAAATTTTATTTCTTTAGTGAGAGACACTAGGTCACAGCAAATCTGGTATTGCGTCGTTATTGAAATTCATAGACATTAGAGTATATATATCTCCGATTTGTGCCGAGATCGAAAAACAGTATTATGT